CTTGCCACGGTCTCCAACCCTCCTCCTTTCTCATCCGGGCTTGGGACCGGCCATGGCGGAGTTATGTTTCTTCTTTCCTACAATATTCTTTTTTATGAATCCGGCTCTGCTTTATGTGTAGTGACATTTAATCACAACCTTGTTTTTCAAATTCGACCGTTGTTTACGCACTTGTCGCTGTTCTACCACGTCCCTAGGTGCACAAAGGCGTGAAACAGTCTGTTTCTTTTCACTAACTTCTTGCCTCGATTTCGCCATGGTCTGCGCGCTTCTGTGTTGCTGCGTAGTAATTTTTGTCTTTACCAAGAATTTCTTTGAGTAATGAATTTACCACACGTCTGTTCAGAATAAGTTACTTGGTCCGTAGAGAATCCGATTTAGAACCTACTGATCGCCAGTTGTCAGGTCATTCGCCCTTCTTCCTTCCGAAGCTGTTAAATGATTATCACTTTGGTGAATACAGACGGTACTTGTGACCGTTGCTGTTGATTCTGCTATTATTTTGAGAGAAAAACAAACAGCTGGCTTGTTGCTGATGACAACTCCTGAATGTAAGGGTGCGAAAATTGATATCCGACATTCCACCGGTTTCTAACTTTCCTTTTCTTACGCCGCCCCTGATGACCAGGCGTACACTGATCCAGGATGAGAACATTTTCACTGTAACACACCACAATGAGTAGACGATTGATCGTTCTTCGCCAAGACTTGCGCTAGCATAGCATCCAAGGTCTACAAATTCCCTGCCACACCACTGTTGCGATATTGGCAGAGAGAAGCTTTCCATTATCATTAGTCAAGTGATCACGGTTTCAGCATTGCACTGTTACTTTTATCACTGACATGTCGATATATTAGTAAAGTTATCAAATATATTTTGTATCAATAAATGGCTTTGTTTTTCTTGCGTAAATGCTCTGCGAATTTTGTTGAACATACTGCTGACGTTTGGAGCTGTAGTTGATTCATTGTTAAGGTAAAGCATGCACAGACATGCCGTAATCTGTATATAATGAATAGTACGATAATAACTGCAGTTCGTTCATATAATTATTGCCTGTTATATATACAGCTTCAAAAGTGCTTATGTTGTCATTATATTTAGCATTAACGAAGGACCCCTCCAAGACCAGATCTAGTTTTGGATAGGTCACTCGTTATTTGACATACTCGGGTGTTAGAACAGCTTCTGAAGTTTATGCTATGCGTAGCATTACGGTATAAATATGTAGAAATGGCAGGATGTTCACTTGCTGTGCAGTAGACATGCATAATGATAGTCTGTTCTATGTATTTTATACATATCATTAATATGTACCTGAACTGTTCAGTATCTATGATTGTCTAAACGTATTATGCAGTATTTATTGTCTTTCCGTCATAATTGTTTTACTGTAAATTGTTGCACGTAGTAGAAGGCGGGGAGTATTTTCAGAAATAATAACGTTGTATTGTCTTGTTGTGTATGATACGTAATAGATACATGTTCTTATTATAGCATATCTATGTTGTCCACACTAAAGCATCATTGATTCTGCATCCTGATTTTTACAAATTACGCTTTGCTTTCCCCTCCATGCTGCTAGGTAATTACAGGTGTAACGCACACTGTCGAGTGGCGTGTTGGCATAGAGTCTGAGAGGCCTGCTTGGAACTGCGAAAGTACGGAGTTCAATTTTGCTCGAACGTGTTCTTTGTTTTATTCATGAATTTACCACACGATACCTCATACTTGGGCTTCTCAGTCAGTTGATCGTCGAACTCAGAACCTATAGGTCCTGAGATCAAAGCTCGGTTAGTCATTCGCCTTTCTTCCTTCTGAAGCTGTAAATGAGTATCACTCTGTGGAAAGGAAGTAGAAGACCACTCGCTATGTTCGCACATGTCGGTAGGCTCTGTCTGCCTTTAAAAAAATAAGGCACTTTACACGCTGATGACAGAGATCATGATCAGTATCGCACCATCAGATTTATGAAAAGAAGGACCCAATCATTA